ATATTTTTGCATAAAATTTTACATACGACAACTTTTGCATTTAAACAAATATGTTTCCTATAGTTCAAGTTTTCACGAGATCAATTTTCGTAACAATTTTATTTATTTTTTGCTTTTTAATTCATTCAAATTTTTTCGAATATTAGAAATTCCTTTTTGTAAAAAGTTAAATAATCTAAATTTCGTTTTAAATAATCTAAATTCCGTTTGTCAGTTAAATGCGATCAATTTTTAAAAAAATAATTTTCCGGGATTATCATAGAAAAAAAATTTCCAGGATTTTTGTAAAGTCAAATACTCATCTATGCATTAGTGAAAAGTAATCCTAGAAGACATAAATTGATGAGGGCTCATTAAGATTGCTGCCATTTATCAGGACAGGATTATCAATATTATTCTGACAATGGTTAGCAGTAAACAACTGAGATTTAGAGGTAAGATTGAAAGGATGATTATTAATTTAAAAATTTTGGCAACAAAAGCATGTTTTAAAAAAATCAAGAACCATTTTGCTCATGCCAAATATAAACTTTTATGTTGTTTATATATAAGATCTAAATATTTTTAATGTTCTTTATTTTACATATAAATGTAAAATCAACTCATTCCCTGTTTCTATTCATGATTTGTCGTTTGTAAAAAAATATAGAAATTAGTTATTACAAGGTTTTAACTTCCTTTTTTTAAACTTTTTTTCTTCTTTCTTTTAAACAATCTTAGGCTAATTTTTCAATTTAATTTATAAACTTAATTTTATTTTGTACATGCATATTAAAACTGAAATTAAATTAAAAAAAACGTAAAACTTTTTTTTAATCAATGATTATTTGACATGTTTAATTTTAGCAGTTAACAGTGAATGTATTTCACAAGCACAAACAAACATCAATCAAATGTATATATTCTATTTATTTTTCCATTTATAAAATGGAAAGATAAAATATGATTGTTAACTTATTACTATTTAAAGTAGAACTTTTTACTATAAACTGTTAAAGGGTAGACTCATCTTCCTACTATATACTATTGAAAGGTAGACTCGTACCCACAGTAGGATCATCCAGTGGTGATGTTTATATGCAAATGCCAGTTGCTTGTCTTTCATGGCAGATTTAAGCTTAAGTTTTGTAGGATTTCAGATCAAATTCTTTTGAGAAACTGTCATATGACTCACTTTGGATCCTCTCCTCTGTAGTTAAGCTCTTTTTTTTTTTTACAGAATTTGTTGGAAATTTAACAACAATTCATCAAGATGTTATTGTGCTTGGTGGTGTCTCTATTTTTTTTGCTCATTTTTCAGTCTGTGTTGATTTCTTGTTCTTAATACTTGGCTATCGCTTTAATGCACAATTGGCTAGCTGACTAACTAGCTGACTGTCAATTTTTGACTGTGTAGGCCTACAATATGGGTCCTCTGAATTGTTGTCCTGGACATTTTTGCCTCATATCAACTATTTCCAAATTTCAAAAGTTTAGTAAAAAATCAGGGCAAGATGTTGGGATCAGTTAAAAAATCATTCAAAAAAAAAATTAAATTTAAAATAGTTGATATGATAAAATCAGCACAACTGTGCTTTAGCCAGTCTATTGTTATCTACTACCATACAAGAATATATATTGTATGGTAGTCAAAAAGATTTCTTCCATAAAGTTTAAAAGCTTAAACAAAGTTTATTCTTTTAAATAATAGATTGCTTGCCCAAACCAAACCCTCACTCGATGTAGCCGTACTTCCTTGTAGCAGCAGGCTGTAAGATAGTCGCCATAGCAGTACTTTCTAATAAGATAGTCTATGTAGCATCACTTTGTCTGGCCCAAGGATATATATATATATATACATATATATACATATATATATATATATATATATATATATATATATATATATATATATATATATATATATATACATATATATATATATACAGGCCTTGTTTTAAATAAAAAAGTGCTTAATGCATTAGCTTAACGCAATTTTGACGTCATAAAATTATCTTTATTTTTTTTTATAGACGTTAAGTGTTTTAACTACCGCAATAAATAAATAACCGCAAACTAGTTCAATTTAACAATTAACTCAAATATAAACTATAAACGTTTTAAATATAAATTTATTATGAATTTTGTAATGTTTTCAATTGTTATTATATTATTAATTTTAGTTCAATATTATTTAGTAATATATATATATATATATATATATATATATATATATATATATATATATATATATATATTAATTATTTCTGAAATTTGTTTTTGAATAATTGTTTTTAATCGTTATTGAATAAAAAATAATGATTTTTTTTATTTTTAAAAATTTCTAGAGTAAACAAAAAATATTAACATTGATAAACACAAACCCATGTTAATTATTTAAACAACAATTTTGTTTTGACTAGCAAAGAAAAATTTAAGTTTTTAAATATTTTTTAAATTTTTAAAAGCGTTTCAACTTGCGTTTTATAAAAATATAAAAAAGTTTTGTCTGCTTTGAGCATATTTTTGATACGTAGTTTAGAACGCGTTCGCTAGGAATTTAATTCATAAATTTTTTATGTTATTGTAAAAATATTTAACTTTTTAAACAAATAACAAAAAAACAGAGCTATAGAGAAAAATCGTTTTCAACGATTAAATCTTTTTTTTTTTTAATTTTAGGAAATAAAATAAAAAAATTAAATTAAATATAAAAGACTTAATTATGCAAACTCTTTTGTTAATTATTCTTAAAACAAAAAAACAAATACTATTACGCCAAACTTTAATCGTGCAAACTTAAAAAAATACTCAACTGAAATAATTTAAGTATATTTAATAATTTGAATCGTATCTGTTTATAATAAACTTTCGTAAAAAATTTTGTTTATCAAAAATTAAGCTCCTTAACTTATAAACAAACTCAAAAATATTTTCATTCTACGTATAATTACAAAACTCTTTTTTTTTTTTCGTTTGTAAGCAATTTAACTTAATAAAATAAAAAAAAAGAATAAATATGAGGTAATCTTTGTTAAGAATAAATTTAATTTATTTATTGAACTATATTTTTATTTTTAATTATATATCAACTTAATTAAAATATAGTAACATGTTAAAATATTTTAACATGACTTGTATTATTTATACACCGTTGGGCAGTTGCCCTTACTGCACTATTGTTTTTGGATATTATTTTATTTTGATGAAGATCACATAACTTACATTTGATTTTAATAACGTAAGTCTTCTCTTTTTCTGTGATCATCGCATTGGCAAAGCATCGGCAAAGTCCCAAGATTTAAAAGTTTTTAAAGTAAATCTTTTGTCCTTCAAAATACAATCCATATTCGAACTTTAAACAATTTAGAGATAATAGAAATATACAAGGTTTTTATATACTAGTTTGTTTTGTTTTATAAAGAAAAATACATATTCATTAGTAAAAAATGGAGACTGTCATTAAACTAAAATGTGCCTTAGTATTTATTTAACGGAACCTGTAATGTGCGCGTGCATAATAAAACCTCCGTTATATAAATATATTCAACGTAATATTAGTCTCATCAGCGGATGTTGTAGTCTACTCATGATTTCTTTACCTTATAATATAAGTTGATTTATGAAAAAAAAAAATTATTGAATGGCACGCAGAAGAATTTTAACAAATTGTCTTCATTTAAATATTGCGAGTAACAGGTAATTTTTTTTTTCTGTGCTGACCCCCTCCCCCCGCATAACTTAAACTATATACCTTTAACTAATAAGAAAAGCAAAGACATTTTTTTTAACATCTCGAAAAAATATCTTGATATTTTTGTTATCATGATAATAAAAATATTAATACATTTTTTGAGATTTTATTTTAAAAAATGTCAATTCTTAATTACAAATTTTTTTGCAAATGTTTTTTATTATAAATTCAGTAAAAAATTCATAAAAAATCTATATTACTATACTATACTATAGTACTACTACTATAAACTTTTATATTCTGTATTAATAAATATGGAATATAGATTTTTTAAAAGTTTTTTACTAAAAACTTTAAAAAATTACTACTTTTTATTAAAAACATTGCAAAAAATTTGTAGTTAAGGATTGACAAAAAATTTTTCATGTTGCTAAATATTTGAATAAAAAGTTTAGCGTCAAATTAATTGCTATAAAAAGGAAAGATATATCGCGATGAAAAGTTACAACAATTATTTTTAAAGTAAATTCTTTTTTTTAATAAATATCTTTACATATCGTTATTTAAAAGTTAATGTGGTTTTTTTGAAAATTAATTACTTCTTTTATGTTACCGCTAATTTAAAAGTTAAAAAATGATAAAAAGTAGCTTAACCAAAACAGCTCTACGCGTACGTAAAAAGCGCTTAAGGCGTACGTAAATCGCTCTAGGCGTAACGCTTTAAAACAAGGCCTGTATATATATATATATACATACATACATACATACATATATATATATATATATATATATATATATATATATATATATATATATATATATATATATATATATATATATATATATATATATATATATATATATATATGTATATATATATATATAAATATATATATACATACATATATATATATATACATATATATATATATATATATATATATATATATATATATATATATATATATATATATATATATATATATATATATATATATATATATGTATATATATATATATATATATATATATATATATATATATATATATATATATATATATATATATATATATATATATATATATATATATATATATATATATATATATATATATATATATATATATATATATATATATATATATATATATGTATATATATAACAAATTTTTTTTGCTGTAATAAAAGTCCTTCAAGTCTAGGTAGTGCCCTCAACAGCATCTTCAGATATGTGTATATTGAGGCCCCAGCAAATTGGCACTTCTGTATGCACAGCTAACTTTACATTTACTTTAATATATTAAAAGAGACTACTTTTATTTCTAG